ATGAGTAATTCACCTGATTCACTGCAAACACTCAGAATCCTTGCTGCTCAACTGGAAGCAGTTGAAAGTTTCTACTTTTGCTGTTAGATCATCTATTGCAAGTTGCTCCAGTTTTGTGAAGGTCGTATTTAAATTTAGCGATGTCCCCAGCTATTAAAACCTGGGTAGTGCTGGCCTGTTAATGCCAAGGAATGCTGTGGTAAAATTGACATTGGTGTACCTGCAGTCTGTGGTAACAGCAGCAAGTCTGTGACAACAGCCTGCTCAGATGTACCCTTGAGAGTTAAGTAGGACATCTGATGACAAGGCAAATAACCAAAATGTGTACCAGGGTTTATCCTAACCAGGCTGTTTGCTCACCCTTCCTGGAGGTGAGGTCCCTCAGTTATAGAATCAGATGCTGAAGAAACAAGCGAATTCCTTTGCTACCAAGGGCAGTGGCAGTCAGGGCAGTAGCTTGCTCTGCTCTATATAGCTGGAAACAAACATTTTTAAGATTTCAATAGGCCTATCTTTTGGATTGTATCACAGAATTTTACAACAAAAACTTGTGCATGTCCTAATGTGCAGTAGAATATTACCCTTGATTTCAGAGGTGTTTATAAGTAAGTCTGTGCAGCAATACCCAAAGTGTGGCGTGGAGCTCCTGGCATGCTGATAGGGTGGGTGGGTATCTACGGGTTGTCCTCAGGCTCTCAGCTCTCTTACCATAAGACAGGGTTATTCTCTGTCATAAATATGTTGGAGATCTGCTAGTGAGAAGTGTGAGCATTTAATAATTGTAAATTTTTTAATTAAGAAAAAATAGAATTCATGAAAGACAGTGCAGTAGTAATGCAAATAGTATCATTACTAGTTGCTGAGTTTGAGGTCCCCACAAGAAAGCTCTAAGTCACTCACCTTAGGACTAAAGGTTTATGGCCTTTTAAATCCCAATTTAGGGCTACAAAACCTATGTGGTTTTTGGAGGAAGGGAGAACTTGAACTCCAGGCATGGACAGGAATTTGAGCTGAAAAAAGCCCTTTGCTGCTCTAAGTATCAGCTTGTCCTTAGGCTTTGTTGCTTTGTTTAAAAACTGAAGCAAACCCTAGGAAGGGGATGAAAGCTTAGACAGTGCCCTATTGTGTGTGCAGTGAGTGGAGGGGGGAATGGCACGCAGATCCTGCCTCTTGCCCAAGTTTCAGAAAGGGTCAGAAACCTCTATGGTAAAGGGAAAAGGATTCTTCTCAATTTTATTATTTTTTTAAAGTAGTGAAATGAAGTGATTTCACTGTCAAGGATGTTTTACTCCTATACAGAGTCTGAATATTTGAAGATTTTTAGGAGTGTGAAATCGGCAGCACTCACAGCAAGAACAAGACTTACGTCCTATAAAAGACCTGGGAAGTAATGACCCCTTTGTGAGAGGCGTGCCTTAATGTACTGGGGGAATGTATGCAGAATGGAGAGTTCCATTGGGTGTTTGTTTATGAAAATGACATGAATGGTTTGGGATTTGTTTTTAGTATGTGTAAAAGGAACACAAGCACACCATGTGTAAAGTCAGTACATTCTGCAAAGTCTCTCGCAAGCTTATTGCAACTTGTTATAAAATAATAGTATAATACAAGTCCAGGCTGGTGTAGGAACTGAAAGAATACTCAAAGTGAGACAGAATTCTCCTTTCGCTAATGATTTAAGCATAAGAATACAAGTTCAGTCTGTGGGAAATGCTTGGTGTTTATTGTTGGCTTTTTTTGGTCTGAAGCCATGACTTTCAAAAGAACTTGGGGAGAAGGTGTAAAGCAAAACAATGCAAGCTTCCATGTTTATTTTCATAAAGTTATTTAGCTACTGACTGATTTGAGAGATCGGTCCTTTGCCAAAATTTAAATCAGCCAGGAGCAAATGACTTAAAAACTCAAGGTGCAGAACTTGATTTATATATTTTTTAATTTTTTTTTAGCCTTCTTTATCATTCGTACTAACACGTTTCAATGGCATGTACATGTTTTGATGTGTTAATGTACAACTGATTTAAAACAGCGCTTTGCTAAGTTCCTTATACTCTTTTTCCCCCTCTTATAACTCTGCATTCGTGGTTATAAATCAAAACTGTGTCAGCACTTGTCACATGTTATTTCATGTTCAATTAACAATCAGTGTAATGCACAATTATTGATTTCTTTTAAAATAGGTGATGCTTTTTTAACCACACTGTACTAGTCCCTCTTTATCCAGCTCAGTAAATCACATATTTACTGATTTATCCATTCAACCATGAAAATATTTTCCTTTTTTGCTTGTATTTGATTTATGTTACAGGTGAAGGGTCAGTGCTCATGAGTAAGCAATGATCTGTGTAACTTTGTATTTGTGGTTCTAGTTACATAAATGTGGAAGGTTTTTTGTGTGTGTAAAGTTGCATTAGTAATTTTGCTCAGGTAGGAAGCTTGGGTGGTTCTAGGACTTCTGTTTGATATTCGTATGGCACTTGTGGTTTTACAGGAGCCTTGATTAAAGCGGTATTACTCAGAGTGCGGAATGTTCTCAGTTTTAATGCAAGTCAGAGAAGGTTTCTCAGTTAAGAAGCTCAGTGCTTTTTGTCTCTTGGGACGGTGAACCCGTGATACTGACAGACACTAGATAAATACAGTTTTGATCATGACTTCTGAATAAGAAACCGAAAGACTGAAATCTGGGTCTGAATTGGTGCTGCTTCATGCTTTCATGTTTTGTCAGCTTTGCATGCATTAGGAAATCTGTTCATGGTACGTAAAAATGCGCAAGCCGTATTACTGAACTGCAAAAGCCCTACTGCTGGTACATCAAAGAATGCAGCAGCTGTCATCCAGCTTTAGCTGTGGTGCTCCTGAATGCCTTAATCCTGTTCCCAATGTTCCCAAACAGAAAGAGGCAAGGAGTGTGCACTTTTTTTATACTGCCCTTTCTATTTTTTTTCCCAACTGGTTTGGCATAGCAAAATCCAGAATATGTGTTCTGCAGCTATCACTATATGACATGACATTATTTGCATCTAATTTAGGCACTTCAGTCCTTTTCATGAATGTTAAGCTCTTTCAAATTTAGTTTTTATTAAAATTAGCAATCATTTACACTGGGCTTAATCCCCGGTGTTTTAATTATCAAAACAAGTATTCAGTTGTACTCCGTTTTCATTTAGGTCCACTTCAGGTTGGAAGTAACTGGTAATTCTTCTGTTCCCATTCAGTTGCTGAAGGAATTTATGCTGAGATTGCACTGAGAACCAGAGTTAGAGGAAACACACCTGAATACCAATAAAATGTGTTTTACTTTATGTAATCTTCATTTGTTCAGATTTTTTATTACAGTGCAAGTCTTACAAGGCAGCTATTACAAAATACCGTATTGAAGAGGCAAACCAGAGATGTTAAAAATATAAATTTTAATCTGTTACAGCACTTTTAAAGACTTCAGCAGTGCAGTGTCCGGTTTCCAAAGGGAGTCACAGCAGATGTCGGGGAACTGTGAGAATGGAGCAGGCACACAGTGATGCTTCCTCGGTGCGCTTGACTGTCTCACTAGCATTTTCTGACCCAGAAGCTGTTCTTAGAAATAATGAAATCAAGGCAAATTTGTGTTCATTCATTTGCCTGATCATTTTCCTGAACTGTATTTCAGGAATATTTTCCAAATAAGCGCAAACACATTTCAAGAAAATAGTACAGGAAAATTATTCATATTGAATTCAGTTATTAGAAATAGATTCTAAAAAGGTGTTTTTTATTTATTGGAATTTATTCTTGTTTATTTACAAATGAGTTGCTGGAGAGTCAAATTTAACATTTTTAGAATCCAAATGTGTAGCCCAATTTACTCAAAAGGACTTTGAAAAATCTGCTTTAAAAATGTTGACCAGGATAGTACTGAAAGCCTGATGAGAGAAAATGACATTTGATGACAGGGCTTGGTATGCTTAGAAATACTTCTGTTATTAAAGTTGCCCTAGTGCCAACCACTCCTACACTGCTCATTTGTGTGACACACTGGCCATCACAACACACAGGAAAGATCAGAGATTACATGCAATAGCTCCAGTCCCTTCCTTGTCAGACAAGGATCTCCCAGCATCTATTATTACCCTATTGTGGTTTATTCTTGCAAGCCCATTTCCTCTTTCCTCTCCATTAAAACCCCTTTCCAAACTCCTCACTTTGAAATGTCATCTTTTTACATCTCTGCAATGTTAGACAACGTTCAGCATTATTCTTAAGGAAAATAGTTGATGCCAAGAAAGGAAATGGGCAGTTAACATTTTGGGATGTTCATGGCAATTTATTGCTAGCTTTCACAGGGTAAGGAATCATTTGTTTGCTTTGCTCTTGACAGAGCACAAAAAAAAAACATCTTTAATTCAGTGAAAACTCACGATAATACCTCATTACTATGAAATTCAGATGCTGATAGTCTCAGTAGAGCATGTGCAACAGCCAAAGGAGTCCCTGGGGACTGATGTCACAGTGCTCCATGAGTTAATATTGGGATGTCCACAGCTGCCTTCAGACATTTTTCACGTCAATGAAGAGATGTAGAAACTGAAGGCCAGTTTCCAAGTATTTGGAGGAGACGCCATTTGAGGGAGGCAAAAGGCATCTTTACTCTTTCTTTTCACTTCTCATTTTTTCTTTCCAGGAGAAGAAGATAATATGTATGTGATGTAATCTTAAAAAATCTATACTACTGTCATTTGACATTTGTCATTTTAGAAGTGAAAAGGAAAAATAATCTTAAAGGTTCCTGCTTTGTTTTTAAATTATGACTTTGAAATAAGAAGGTATGTGAAATAAGTAGGTATGTGGTATGATCTGCTCTTGCGTGTTATGTGCTGCATTACTGAAGTGCTACTGTAAGGTAGTAGATGATCCTTTTTCTCTTAGGTTTTGATGTCGACCATCCTTTCAGTTGCTGTATTTGTTATGCAAACACCAGAAAATAGTGTTGAATGGCATTCACAAATATTTCTTGTTTACTTTTACAGGTTATTGAATCCCTAGGGATTATTATATATAAAGCCTTGGACTATGGCTTGAAGGACAATGAAGAGCGGGAATTAAGTCCTCCACTGGAGCAGCTGATAGACCACATGACCAACACCACAGAAACCGACGGGAGTCGAGATGAGGGATACGATGCGCTGGATGAGGGGGTGGAGGATGATGACGATGATGACAAAGAGGAAGTTGAGGCTATTCATTCCTATAAGGATGTCATGAAGGTACACCAATAGGCAGATTATATGGGTATTCCACTGTCCTTATCAGTGAGAAAATCATCTGTTTTCTGTGTTCTTGTCCAGTTTCATACTAGCTGTATTGTTTTTTGCTTTCTGATTTTTCTGGTTCTTTAAAAAATCTTTGCTTGCAAAAATGACATGCAGTAGTATTTCATTTTGACAGTAAGACACAGCAAGACCACGATAACTTTAGTGTCTGCCATTCATATCACGTTCTGATTTCATCTCTGTGTTGGATACTGAGCCTTCTGGTGTAACATCTATTACTCTGTGTATGTTTGGTTACTTCACAGGTTGTTTTAATTTTCTCACCTTTTTATTAGTGCAGCGCTGCTTCAATGATTCTTCATCAGTTTCCTCCTTTGTTTCCCTTCTGTACTGAAGCAGAAGACTGCTTTTATAAGTGTAGCTTATTTGTAAGGAGTGAGTCAATATACACTACTTCACTGATGATAATTCCGATTCTGATTCTTGACCTGACTTGCGAGATTTAGAAACACAGTTTAGGAATTTTAATTGCAACAGGTTCCTCAGTATTATCTGGTCTACCATGAACAATGATTTAGAAGCTTTTAATCCTCTGTTTCCTATAGAGTAGTCTTCAGTACAAATTTTAGAGTCTCTAGTAGAGGCAAAGATGTTAATAAGCATGTTAAATGTGGATTGAACATTGTATGTTGCTTGTTCTCAAGTGCAACTCATATCTTGTCATAAGGATGAGAAGCTCAGCATTTCACAGAAATTAAGAGAGTGGAACAGAACATCCTGGATAGCACATAAGGATATATTAGTATGCAGAAAAAAGACTCCTCCAAAACTTGGTGCTTTTAATGGGCTGACAGTAAAGAGGAAAGCTCTCAGGAGGCTAGGATGGGAATAGCTTTTGTTTGAGATGCTTTTGAACATGTAGTTAAATTGGTGGTGTTATTTGGAAAAGTAGCATTGACAACCACTCCTTGTAAACTTAGTTAAAATTCACAGCGTGTTCCCATTTGCCAATTTTCTGGAGCATTTACATCCCCTTGTTCCTGCTTTTCCCCACGACAGGGCTCTACACACCTCACTGCGATCCACTTACCAACCCAGCACAGTGACTTCTATACATGTATGTGTGTACTGCCCTGACCAGGGCACCTCCTTTTCCTCCCTTAAGCATAAATAATGCTAAATTCTTAAAGCCTCCTTTTTTCTCTCTCAGAGAAGCAATGAAGGTCAGAGGGACCAATGAAGGGAGCAGTTGAAGGGGTGGCCAGGCTGGATGGCACACTCTCACCTTCAAGCCCCTTGCCTCTGAGGCTTTCTGAGCTAATGCCCTGGCAGCAGGAGGAAGTGAGGGCTGCTTTTCTCTCCTTGCTGCCAGGTGACTTCCTTGTGCATGGCCATCAGCAGCAAAGGCATGGAGGAGCAACCTGCTAAGCTGCTGTAGGAGCTACTCCAAACAGTATGATTTTATGTCCACACTGTACAGGATAGATGCAATCAATACATGCTCTTTCCCTCCAGTTTGGTACAAATGCCGTGAAGTGGTGGAACAATCAAAGCTGGGTTACTAGAGGGAGAGACACCTGTATATGCAGAGCTGAGGGCAGAGAGGTTTGTAGGCATGATTATTTTGCACATTCTTTACTAAAAGTCTGAATTCTTCAGCTTCTCTGAAATCTTTCAGTTACACTGGTACACATGCCTGGAACTCAGAGGGCATAAGAAAATGTTTGGTCAGTCTTCAACCAAAAAGGCTGCTGAGTGGTGGACTTTCTGTTTTGGCTTTGTTAATGCATATCTCTTCTGGCTTGAGGTATCTGCATACTTATGTGTTTTAAAATCAGCATCTTAACTTGTATTATTTTTTGCTTATCTACTTATTTTTATTCTGGAAATGTACTGCTTTTGTGATATCACTTTAATGAGCTGAATGAACTTCAGCTGTCAGTTCTACATCATCCTAACTTCAGCTCCCTCAGAATTCTCTTTTGTTGCTGTTGTTGCTTTCACCTAAGTTATTTGCTGCAGGCTTAACTCTGTGACTTGCCTTTATTACTCTGCGTCATTAATGCATTGACAGTACTAGAACAGCATTATCATTCTTGTCATTTTTTACATTTGTGCAAGTTTGTGATATTCTTTTTTTTTTTTACTTCAAACCTTTTCAAGAATAAGGCCATGTTTTGGATGTGACTTTTTTTTCCCCTCCAGCTCTAAGCCACATTGCAGGCTACACCCTAATTTACCTACTGACTGTTGCACAACAGTAGTGTGTGGTCTTGTGACCATAAGGCATCATTATTGTAATTCTCTCCTAGCTAGACTCACTGTGAAGCTTTCTCCTCTGCAATTTGTAGTGAATGCTGAAGCAGGTTTGCTTGTTGAATTAAGCAACAATAATTTTTGCCTACCCTGCATTCTTCAAATCGCAAGCTTGAAAAATAATGGAGGTGGGCTGCATGATACTTGTATCGATTTTTACAGTTTTTAACTATATAGTCTCCAGTGTGCACATGATTTTGTCCTTGAAATGGGATTATGTGTTTCATCTTTCTCCAAAAAGTGTCATTGAATTGCAGAATCATTAAGTTGGAAGAGACCTCTGAGGTTATCAAGTCCAACCATCAACCAACTCGTCACCACCATGCCCACTAACCCATGTCCCTCAGTGCAACATCAGCTTGTTTCTTGAAGTCCTGCAGGGACAGTGACTCCACCACTTCCCTAGGCAGCCTGTGCCAGTGCCTCACCACTTTCTACCCCAGTTACCTGGGAGAAGAGACCGACTCCCAGCTCACTACTACATCCTCCTGTCAGGTAGTCATAGAGAGTGATAAGGTCTCCTCTCAGCCTCTTCTTCTCCAGACTGAACAATCCCAGTTCCTTTAACTGCTCCTTATAAGACTTGTGTCTCAGATCCTTATTGTGAGGTTTGGTGTCTCTCTTACCACTAAGTCTGAATTTTCCTGTAGATTGATAATGTGGGTGAGCCTGTATTGAGATTAAAACACAGAGATAGGTAATATATGTGTCAAGTTCTGCTGTAATCTAAACTAGGTAAGGTCAATCCTGAACCCACCCCTGATGTGGAAAATTCTGAGTAATGTGGTGGATATCTATACCCCAGAATTGGGAAAAGAGTTCTTAATAGCTCTGCCAAGGTCAGCGCTGGCAAAGCTGCTTTTTGGAGAAGACATAGATGGGATTTTCTGCTGCATGTCTGTATGTTTGGCTAATCTGGCTTTTGATTTCCTTGGCAGGACCAACCTGCTATGTAGACTTGATCGACTGTTTTAAAGACTGTATCTGTGAAGAGAGGAGATACTATTTGCCACGTTTAACTTTTTTGACTTTGATATATTTCAGACCTGGTAGATCTGGTGCAAATGAAGGAAGAAATAGAGACAATAAGGACTGGATATTTTCAGGCAGCTGCTTTCTGTTTTTGAGGTACTCTTGCCTTTCCTTATCCATAGCATATGCACACAAGAAAGGCAGTGCCTGTTCACATATAGTATGGGAAATCCATATATCCTGGTTTATTACATACTATACAAGGACATACAGAGTAGGCTAAAGGGGTCTGGAGTGCATCAGCTTTACATCACACATACAGCTTTGTGTCAACAGAGGATATATGCAGAGTGGGCCTGGCATGCCAGGAGGTGTGTTAGGCTTACTAAGGGTGTGGAGAGTCCTGTTGTGGCACCTTTATCATGGCATGTGGCCCTCCCTGATATTGAAACAAGATGATGCATCAGCCTCTTCCAGATCATGCTCAAACTCTAATTCTCCTCCTAATCTTAGCATTATCTCACTCTTGAGCTCACAGATCTCTGCAGTCAGATGGTCTAATCCAGCATCACTTCTTATGTTAACCTGGAGGTGCTTTCTAAACTGCAGCTTAGCAACATCTGCTGCCCTGAGCCCCATCCCTAAACTCATTTCTAGTGCTGTTCTTTATTCTAGGTCAGCAACCTCTTCACGTTCCATATATGAATAAAGCTCCACAAGCTTCCTTAATCCATTTGATACCAAGTTTTATTTTGTTCTGGTATTTGCTGGTATTGAGCGGCAATCCTAGTTCTAGCCCTGTCATTTCTTCCAGCTATGATGAGTTACTGCATTGTATATTTACTATAGATGAATTTGCTACTGACCGTACCAGCTCCTAGTTTAATTCTTCTTCATAGAAGAGGTGCACCTTCAAGTTGGGACACAGACCTCTCTTCTACTATCTTTCTCTGTACATCTCTTACAAGACATGGAAGGAGGCACTGGTCTTCATGAACCAATATCCTACTCCTACTTATATTTTCAACCTGAAAGTAACTCAGCTTTTGCAGGAAACTGACCTGTCTGAGCCACACCTTCTGCCAGAGACAAATATAGGTGGGTGGCCCCAGGGTGCTCAGTGGCCTCTGGACCTGGGCCTCACTAAGAAATTGTTCTGAGGTAGTTCAATGACAATGTTGGTTAATTCTGACCAAAAATTAACTATCATGCAACTGCTGCTTCACAGAGATAAATTAGTGACCTAAGCCCCTTTGTAAACAAAACTCTTAAGAAATCTCCATGCTAACCTTTTAATTTGCATGAAAGTTATTTATAGAGCAGCATGTTGTATTGTGTTATCATGCTATAACAAATGTAAACAACATTGCAGTATTTTATTGGTAGAAATTGATGTGTGTGCTTTGCTCATAAAAAAAGAGGAAGAGTAAGTTTCTGTGGGGGAAAAAAATCTCATAATGTAGCTATTTTACTCGTCCTGTAATCATTGTCATTGGTCTCTAAAATAAATTAGCCAATTTAGTTGATTCATATTTTGGTAGTTCAAGTGTGGACTGTCTACCCTCAGCTGGAAAGAATTGAAATTTACCGTGATGATACTGATCTGTTTTGTTTTCAGTACTCTGGTAGTACAGTTCAACTATCTATGGCATGTGTTGAGTATTCATGTAAAAGAAGAATATGTTCTGTTTCCATGCAATTACAGG